AGAAACCAATTGAACGTTAACGAATAAACTCTTTTCATCCGAAATCATTGTTCTTCCGACGTCTGATTTCTTTTTAATTGTAGAAAATGCGTTTTTCTAAGGTACATAAACTTTTGGGATTGACTGTATAGCCAATACATCGTTAAACATAATTCTGAAAACAAATAGTGACAAAATTATAGAGCAACAGAAGCAAAAGTGTTTACACGAGTCTAAAAATGTGAAGAACATTATTCTCTTCTTGGAACAAAACCAGATGCACTCTGAAATTAAAAAAGGAAAAGTCTTCTCACATTGTCGATATATTAAGATGAACCTCGAAAAAAGACTGACAAGAGCATAAAACAGGAAGAGTAAAAGTAATTAGACCAGATGAAATATTCTTACTTAAGTGTAATCCCAGGTGCATTCTAAAATTAGGAAAAGAAAATTCTTACATTCTCGAGATATCACTATTAAAAATAGTCTATAAAAGGAATGACAAGAATATGAAATAAGGAAAGCAAAGATATTTACAAGAATCTAAAAATAAGATCAAATATTCTCGCCTGGAAGTGAAATATAAGAATAAAATCATGCATTCTGAAATGGAAAAAGAAAAATCCGTCTCATAATGTCATATCGATCACTTATTACATAGAATTTTGAAAAAAAAAACAGAGACAAGAATGTATTAGTAGGAAATTAAAAATATTTTCACGAACGTAAAAATGATATCACTAAATATTCTCACCTAAAAATGAACCCAAATGGACTCTGAAGTGAAGAAAAATTCTTCTCACAATATTAATATTAAAAATAATCCCCATAAAAGTGAGTGACAAGAATATAAAACTAGAGAAGGAAAAATATTTTCACGAATGTAAAAATGATATCACTAAATATTCTCATTTAAAAGTAAACCCAAATGGGCTCTGAAGTGAAGAAAGAAAAATTCTCCTCCCATTATCGATAGTAATATTAAAAACAGTTAAGACAAAAAGGAGTGATAAGAGTACAGAAGTAAAAAATTACACAATCACATTTAATAAAATACATTATTAATTACCTTGATTGAAAAGCGAAGTACACGTGGTTTAAACCGAAGCTCCGTCACAGATTTAACAAAACGTGGATGCTGGGACGCGGTAGTAGGATCTCGAAGGGCTCGACGAGTTGAACCAGTAAGTCGTACGATCAAGGCTTTTATAGTAGCGGTATCTGGTCACGCAGGGCATCGCGGAGTGAGGGGTTTTCCCTCCCACAACGCGCGTTCGGAGCGCGCACCTGCGTCGATGGATAGAGATAGGGGTGCTTTTTCCTAAATAATAGGTCACTGCTGTGTGCACGTACGTTTTCAATTACAAATTTGCTCACATAATATCATAATTAATCGAACAGTAAGAATAGAGATTAACAGACTAGGAATTTGCAATTAGAAAAAAACACCATCAATGATGAGTGACGGAGTGATGAATGATGAAGAGGCCATGTTTATTACTGACATTTAAAATATTTAGGAAACATCATTAAATGAAGATGAGAATTTCCAATGAGCAAAGGTTGTCACCTTCCGTAACAAACGTCTGATTTGTTAGGTGGTCATACTACTAACATTTGAAATAGTCCTACAATTAACATACAGCCGAATTTTTGGAACCGAATTCTTAATTCACATTCTAAGGTAAATGTTCTAATTTACATCACAATTTCTATAATTATTTTCCTATCATTATCATTATCATCATCATCTATTATCATTATCTATTATCATTTTAAGATATGTTTATTATAGAAAAAGATGCCAGTGAGTAGACTCTGTGATGTGAGTAAAAATTAAGACATTTGTTACAGAAGTTCAGGAATTGCAAATTCGAGTTTTCTAATTTTCGCAATGCCTCGAAATGTGGTAAAACGACCAGCGCGAAAGTTCTGCTTTAAATTAATAAAGGCGAGCAAGTGGATAGTCTATGTAGGTGTATTGCCTTTTTAAATTGTATTTTAGAAACTCGTTCGAATTTTCCAGAGTAAGACATACAATTTATAGTATTTTTAAATGAGTTTACATTCAGTTTATTGTAAACTTAGATTGAACGAACATAAGCTGCTTTATGTCTAAATTGATGTAAGCACCGTGTTTAACTATCTTTAGCATTTATGTACATACGTGGAAATTTAAAGCGAGAATGTCATTAAACATGTCTCCAATTTACGCACATCAAGTATTCTGGATATTCAAAGACGCGAATATTGGATTCTCAGTACGTGATCGCTATTTAATCTAGAGTTTAATGAATTTTAATTCAATCAATTTCATCGTTTTTTCTCATACATATCTCCACTTTACTAACATATGCGCAATACTTACAGCTCGAATTAAAGTGTACTGGCAAACACAAATATATAAACAGAACATTCTGATCAAAACAATATTTATTTAAAAAATTTCGTGTTTTGTTTTATTTCACTTCCAGTTATTAGATCTCCTAATTAGTTTCTTCATTGTATATCTATTCTACAAAAAGATTTTATTAAAAGACGATCAATTATGTAATCTGAAGTGAGCATTAGAGTTAGATCTACATATCTTATTAAAATTTGTCAAGAACAAACTCTGTTAGAGAGATCAAGCTTTAATTTAAACTATAGTTTAAATAAAACAGCCCATTATTAACGAAGTTATGAACGATTGAAGTTGAACAGTGCTTTTTGTGAGGTACAGTTTTTTTTAACATATGCTGGATTCAATATTGATTTTCGCATATTAATATTGAACATAGGTAAAATTGCAAGAGCTCATTATTAACGAAGTTATGAACGATTAAAGATGAACAGTGCTTTCTTTGAGGTACAGTTTTTCTTAACAGACAATATGTTGGATTCAATATTAATTTTCGCTTATTAGTATTGCACCTAGCTAAAATTGCAAGAGGAAGTAAATTAAAGTAGAGAATTCAAGCTGTAATTTAAGCTAATGTTAAACTGACTCCGTCCATTATTAACGATGTTATCGACAATTAAAGTTTGACAATATTTTTCATTAGAATTTAATCTTTGGAATTTGACATAATTTCATTCATTGACGATTTTTGTCCCTCAGGAGTCAATTTAGATAAAATTACCGGAGAAGATAATAAAAAGTAAGGACTTCGAGCTCTAATTGGATTTAAGAATGAAGTAATTACATTCATTATTAACGAAGTTATCAAATGAAATTTCACAATATTTTTTGTTAGAATACAATATTTAAAATTGATCAAAGTATGATTCAAAGTCGATTTTTTTCTAATTAGAACGACTTAGGTAAAATTGAGAAAGGAACTGAATAGAAACAGAACGTTCAAGCTTTAATTCACATGAAATTTTAATAAAATCCGTTCATTATCAACCATGTTACGAACAATTGAAATTTAGCCATTTTTCTGATTAACCTTCATTTAACAAAATTCAACAACACCTTTTTCTCGGCCGATTTTCATCGTATTATAGTTATATTAACTTACGTAAAACTTCTAGAGGACATAAAAAAAGTAGAGAGTTCAAGAATTATTTTCAGCTAAAGTTCAACTCATTTTGTCTAATATTAACAAAGTTATCAGCAATTAAATTTTAACATAACAAATTATTTCCCAAATAGGCATTTTATTTAATAGGAAATATCGACATATACTTCTGAGCAAATGAGATGGAATTAAATCTAATTAGTGGATCAAAATACATTCTATTAAGTGGGGTTATTGCGAATTCATTGGATGGAAGTTTTATAGGTGGTTATACTGCGGAAGCAGGAAGTGGCTGGGTACATGCGTGAACTTTCGAAGTGCATCTAAGTATTACGCACTCCGGATAGATCGTCCTACAGTCAATGTTTGATTAATGAAAGTAGACTGCAGGATATTCGACGATACCCCAATAAATTCTTAATGATCTAACATTGAATTTTCGTTACTGCTTAATATGTCTACACATTTTTACTTTCAAAAAATGAAATGTTCAGAATTAGAATAGATACTTTTAGTAAAAGTTTCTCGAGCAAATTTTGTTCAATCGTTATCAGAGGAATTGAAACGTAGCAACGTATGAATTCGTTGAGACTGAAACAGGGGAATGAAATTTAATTACGTGTACAGAGTAATAGGCCTATCGTCGCCCTTAAACTGCGCGTAATAAAGAGGAAATCGTGTGTCAGGTTTGATGAAACTATGAAACACGCACCTCTTAACGCCAAATTAAATCGCTTCAGGTTTAAAGCTACATTTTATAATCTCCTTGGACAATTAATACGTCTGTATAAAAATACACTTGATACATTTATACATGTAAATTAATTGAAAGATCAAATTAGGAATTATTAATTGATAGATTAGGAAATAATAATTCAAATAAAGGATTATTGAAATAATAATTAATAGATTAGGAAATAATAGTAGAAATTAGAAATAATTGAAATAATTATTGATAGATTAGGAAATAATAATTGAAATTAGGAAATAGATTAAATTAGGAATTAATAAGTGGAAGCTTAACGTTGAAAGCTTTACATTCTATAGTATTCACCATTAATCAAACTTATTAAATGCAAATTTTTAAATAAATAATAGAATAATGTTTCTGTAATAGGAATTAACGATAATTTTCATTGGGTGCGACCGAGGCAAGTGGTAGAGGTTTAGTCTGAGTCAGCCATGTGGTCTTAAGTAGTAAGTAACGACGATTCGCAGTCCGACCGCATGACACCAACTCGCGTATTCGCACACCTGGAACCTGTTATTCCAAGCCGAGCCAATATCACTACGCACAGGCCATAAATCTTACGCGTTAATATTTCATCCAGTTTTATAAATGTGTTCAATTTTCCAGTGAAACATAATTATTAACTAAACTAGATTTCAATTAGAATTGTGTTGAATGATGAAGTCTGAAGCATTTTTATCATTGTTTGATGATTCCTTTTAAGTAATTTGTCAAAGTCTATTCATGGATAGTTCAATATCCGGAACTCGGAGAAGCCACAGGTTTTTCTTAAGATGAATGAAATGCTTTGAAAAGTTCTTTCATACATGCAAGTACGAAAGAGTGTATAAAATGTATTATTCATTTGAAGAGAGTGGAATGTTGTGTATTAAAGTACTACTATCGAATGTCAATGTAGAATACTGAGGCAAAGAGGGACCTAAATGATCCTCATCACACGCTAAACGCTGTCAACAGTTTTTTTTATCGCGGAATACGATCTGTGTGGTAGTCGTAAAACCTAAGTCATCAGAAGGAGGAAGAGCAGCAGCTTGGCTAACGTTCTCAATTACTTTGTCACGCTTGAACAACGCAATAACGAATGACCTTTCTCTCTATTCTTTCATTTAATCATTTTCAAAAAGCACTTTACCTATTAATATATTTTAACTTACCCATATAATAATATTGAGCAGCTCAAAATTCTGTACGTGACAGTTAGTATTCAATAAAAGAACAGTAGTCCGAGTTACAAGGTACTAAAATCTAGAGATGATCTAAATAAAATTATCGAGCACTGATATAGGACCTTTTAAGGGGCTATTATAGTGTAATAACTGAAAAAAATCAAACATTTCTGACCAAATTTCTCTCAAAGAGTGGCACAAAGTGAAGTGAAGTGAAGAGAAGTGGTGTTCTTCGAGATTTACTCTAAGGGAACAGAAACTACATTTTTACATGATACAGAAATAATATTTACGCAAGGGTCTATAGTTGAATTGATTTACATTAATGACAGCATTCTAGAAACTTCCAAACTGCGAACCTATAAATAAAAGTGGACAAAAGAAATTGCCAAGACGTCGAAATGGAGTATTCAGGCTTACCGTAAGGACAAAGAAATTTTACATACCAACCGAAATTTTGAGCTCGAAAGATGCGACAAAAAGCAGGAAAAAGCAAAAATAGGTTTAAACCGTTGCCTATCAATATAGTAATATTTTCCTCCATTGTACAAATGACTAAAGAGATTCCGGACTATATATAACATCGCATGCATACATAGAACATATGTAGCTCGAAATAGCAGCGACATATAGGAACCATTAAAGATAGAGAAAGAGTACCTGCCAGCTTAAAACTCAAAACAAACTTAAACCTACAACTATCCTTAATCTACACATACAATAAAATAGAATATAGCTGCTGCTTTACAAAACAAAAACTTAAAACTTTGCTTCGTCTATGACCTCACAATTAGGAACCGC